CTAACCCAACTATTAGGACTGGGTGTCAGTGTGAATGGTTACGTTAGGTTAGGATAAGGCTTATTTGAACTAGGACCCTTTTCGCCTGTAACTATGACTTAATGGTGTGTGTGCGTGTGTGTGTGTGCGTGTGTGTGTGTGTGTGCGTGTGTGTGTGTGCGTGTGTGTGTGTGCGTGTGTGTGTGTGTGTGTGTGTGTGTGTGTGTGTGTTAACCACCACCACCCTCCTGCCATATTGCTATGCATGGCTTGATGCACTGAATTACCCGGCAAATGATGGCGGTGTGAGGCCTGGCCAGGTGGAGCCAGGCCAGGTGAGGTCAGGCCAGGTACGCTGAGACCAAGAGTTATGCTGAGAGACTAAGAGTTAAGGTGAGAGACTAAGAGTTACGCTGAGAGACCAAAAGTTAAGTTGAGAGACTAAGAGTTACGCTGAGAGACCAAGAGTTACGCTGAGAGACCAAAAGTTACGCTGAGAGACCAATAGTTATGCTGAGAGACCTAGAGTTAAGCTAAGAGACCTAGAGTTAAGCTGAGAGACCAAGAGTTACGCTGAGAGACCAAGAGCTACGCTGAGAGACCAAGAGCTACGCTGAGAGACCAAGAGCTACGCTGAGAGACCAAGAGCTACGCTGAGAGACCAAGAGCTACGCTGAGAGACCAAGAGTTATGCTGAGAGTGGACTAACAGCGCTCTCGGGGCAGCGAGCATCATTAGGGCGGTTATTGTGTCACCACAGTGTTGACAATAACATCGTCTGCAAGTATAATGGTTCATCTTGCCAGGCCGCGACTACGAGGAGGTGACGATGATGAGGAGGAGGAGGTGACGATGAGGAAGAGGTGACGATGATGATGAGGAGACGATGATGATGAGGTGACGATGATGATGAGGTGACGATGATGATGAGACGATGATGATGAGGTGGCGATGATGAGGAGGTGACGATGACGAGGAGGTGACGATGATGATGAGGTGACGATGATGATGACGAAGATGCTTAGATGATGATGCTATTAGACAAAGGAATATTGCTACTGTGATAGAGAGAGAGAGAGAGAGAGAGAGAGAGAGAGAGAGAGAGAGAGAGAGAGAGATCGCATTATAATATTTCTAAGTTGTTGTAAACTATTTTAAGCCGTCTTGAACTTTCTTTAACACCGTAAGTTTTTCTAAAAGGCAATCGAATTATTCTAAAGTTTATTTTCCCGTAACTTTTCCTAATTTTCCTTAGTGTCCTTATTTACCACCACTTTTCCATATTTCCCCACCATTTTCATTATTCTTCATTCATTTTCATTATTTCCTTACTATTTTTCCTTATTTTTCTCTCATTTTCCTTATTCCCCACCATTTCCGTATTTTATCTTAATTTTTCATGTTTTTATTTATTTTTCATTATTTTCCCACCATTTTCTTACGAATTTTCCTTATTTTCTTGTAATTTTTCTCATTGATCTTATTTTTCCCTTATTTTCCACCCATCGAGTGAGTCAGCGAGTGCTGGAATATCCCCCGAAAAGACACAACGATGTTCTTTAACCCAAAATTCAATTAAGATAACTTTGAAAGTGAGTTAAGGAGTAGCTACTTTATTTCTACTTCAGGACTTGTCTTTACTCTTTCGTAGTTAATTCGGTGAGATTAGGTTAGGTTAGGTTAGATTAGGTTAGGTTACGTTGTTTTGTTGATGTTATTACTAAGGGTCTTTAAGCGCGTAATTAGATTGTTAATTACACCAATTCATTAAGAATTAGATATTATAAGGAATTTTACTGTTTGTTATAACACACACACACACACACACACACGGCTCTACAACCCTGTCCAGTCATAGCCACAATTACCTCCTTCCCACACTGATTGGTTGAGTGGCTGACTGACTAACTGTCTCCCCTGTCAGCTATTTTCCCCTGCCAGTCTTTACTCTAACATACACTTAAGTAGAACATAATTTTTTTTTCAATTTATTGGGCACTCCCCTACATCCTTGTGTAAGGTGAAGCGCAGAAGCGTTTACAGCGCCCAACAGGGAAGCATGCTAAGTTCATGCTTGCCTTTATGTCTCATGAGTTAATGGCGTAGAAGCCTGAAGAGTCAAGGGCGTAGAAGCCTGAAGAGTCAATGGTTTATGTCTAAGCAAGTTATTGGAAGTTCCAACAACTTGTCCCTGAATACGAATTTGCAACTTTCGACTTACAGCAGTTACCTACTGTGCTGCTAGGTGAACAGGGACCAAGGGGACTAGGAAGAGTGTCCAAACAACTTCCACCGGCCCGGGAATCGAACCCATGACATCTTGCTTGCGAGGCAAGAACGGTACCGCTCTACCACCAGCTCCCCGAAGAAACATAAGATTTAGGGCAAAAACACTGAATTGTTTTTGTAACATCTGAATATTTTTTGGTGTGTTCAGGGCAAGTGATTGTTAGGTCTTGTATTAGGTAAGTCAGTGCCAAAGCGAGCGATCAGTTGTGTCTAGCGTTCTCTTTCCAGGTATCTGTCTCGTAATGTTACACACACACACACACACACACACACACACACACTGACCCACATACACAACCCCGCAAATCGAATCTCAGCTGTCTACACTCCTGCATTACGGTGTAATTCTCATGACGGGGTAATTACAGGTGTGTGGCGGCACTGCACGAGTATACAGGTACAGTACGCGAGGTCATAACAGGCGGGAACACTCTAATAACCTGAGTTGTTTGTTATGGTCAACCGCGGCAATTTTTGTCCTGTTGAATAAATATAGTTTTTTTACCCCCTGACAGGTAAACCAGCTGGTAATTCGATGGTTTTGTATGTTTGTATGTATGTATGTATATATGTATGTATGTATGTATGTATGTATGTATGTATGTATGTATGACTATTAGTTTGTGTATATACGTATTAATTAATATATGTACCGATAAATAAGATCATGTTTATTCGTTTGTCAACCAAAACCCTTGTAAATGACTGTAAATGACTGTAAATTGGGGAGTATGACCGCGTGCAGGCACTTAACTACCTAGCTGGGCTGATGAACGTCTTGGAGGTGTGTGTGTGTGTGTGTGGGTGGAGGCCGTCCATTACGTTTTCTGGTGGTGGTAGTGGGGTGGAATGTGTGTTACAAAGATCATCCTATAAACTGAGGAATGAATATTTGATCGTGGCGTGTCTGTCTTTATCCATCATTTTTTCCTTTACTTGTTACTTGTTCATCTTCCAGGGAAATATTCACCAGAAATCTTATATTGGTTAAATCCAGTGCATCATTGCGTTCACCAGTACACTCTTAAGTTTACCAGTACACTCTTAGGTTCACCAATACACTCCTAAGTTCACCAGCTCACTCTTACGTTCACCAGTACGCTCTTACGTTCACCAGTATACTCTTACGTTTACCAGTACACTCTTACGTTCACCAGTACACTCTTACGTTCACCAGTACACTCTTACGTTCACCAGTACACTCTTACGTTTACCAGTTCATTCCCACGTTCCTCAGCGGCAGTAAAACATTCCGTCGTTCCTGCTGGCTCTTGACAGGGCACGGACCAGCCACACGAGGAATGCCATCTTCAAATTTCAGGCAGGAGTAAAGGCGCTGTGAATAATTAAGAGAACAAACAGCGGGAATAATGGCGGCCGCTTTGGTACCCGGGTAATGAAAAGCACAAATATTAGTTAAGTAAGCCCTTGTAGCTCTCGTTCGTCTGGCGCAGGGTGAGGCGATGGTGGTAGTGGTGGTGGTGATGATGATGATGGTTGTTGGTGAGGTTGGTGTGGGGGTGGTAGGTCAGGAGGGTGATGGTGGTGAGGAGGGTGGTGGTGGTGAGTGGGAGTGAGGGGGGTGATGGTGGTGAGATGATGGTGGTGAAGTTGAGGTGAGGTGATGGTGGTGAGGTGATGGTGGTGGTGGGAGTGATGGTGGTGAGGGCAGTGGTGGTGAGGTGGTGGTGAGTGGGAATTGATGGTGGTGAGGGAGTGATGGTGGTGAGGTGATGGTGGTGAGGTGGTGGTGAGGTGGTGGTGTGGGGTGATGGTGGTGAGGTGGTGGTGGGTGGGTGATGGTGGTGGGGTTGATGGTTGGGGTGATGTGGTGGTGAGGGGGTGATGGTGGTGGGGGGATGGTGGTGAGTGGGAGTGATGGTGGTGAGGTGTTCAAATTGTTGAGTGGGAGTGGTGGTGAGTGGGAGTGGTGGTGGTGAGGGGGTGATGGTGGTGAGTGGGAGTGATGGTGGTGATAGTGGTGGTGGTGAGGGTGATGGTGGTGATAGTGATGGTGGTGAGGGTGATGGTGGTGATAGTGGTGGTGGTGGTGGTGGTGGTGACAGTGTTTGTGGTGGTGGTGAGGGTGATGGTGGTGGTGGTGGTGATGGTGGTGGTGGTGGTGAGGGTGGTGAGGGGGTGGTGGTGGTGAGGGAGGTGATGGTGCTGGAGTCGGGTGATGTGGTGAGGTGGTGGTGGTGAGTGGGGGTGATGAGAGGTGGTGAGTGGGGGGTGATAACACAAATATCAACATCACTCCATGCACAGATACAAATTTCATTCCTAAAATGATAAGAATAATCCACTCATTACACAATTTTTTCTTTTCAAACGCTACCCGCCCCCCACCCACCAGCCACCCCCCAGCCCCCACCTCACCACACACGAAAAAAAGTCTAGATTAAACCCGATTTACAAACTTTCCATCACAAATGCTGAAAAAAAAATAAAATCGTTCATGAATTAAATTTCTCCCAAACACACACACACCAAAAAAAAAATCACCCGAATTACAAATTTTCCTAACCACGAACAATTAAACATTAACAACACCATGAAAAATAATAGAAAAAACATAATTATTATTTATTTATCATTCAATAAACATCTTGTTGCGGTGTTGTTGTTGTTGTTGTTGTTGATCTTGTGGGAGAGTGGGCGACGCTTACTCCTTCACCACTGCCAACCTCCGTCCAATTAAAATGCAAATTTGTCTTTCGTTTTCAAGAAGCTCATTCGTGATTGGTTGAGAGGAGGCTGAGCTCATATAGTCGAGATCTCCGCGAGTAGATTATGCCAAAGAGTTTTAAGGAGTTACTGATTACCACAACAAACTTTTTTATCAAGAAATGTGTGAGGAACAAGTTGTTGTATAGAGAGGGTTGTGGCTCTGTTGTGACGGTAGGTGAGGGTTGTGGCTCTGTTGTGACGGTAGGTGAGGGTTGTGGCTCTGTTGTGACGGTAGGTGAGGGTTGTGGCTCTGTTGTGACGGTAGGTGAGGGTTGTGGCTCTGTTGTGACGGTAGGTGAGGGTTGTGGCTCTGTTGTGACGGCAGAAAGAGGGCTAAAATTTGCTAGACGGTAGGTGAGGGTTGTGGCTCCACAGACGGTAGGTGAGGCCAGCTCTGTTGTGACTTGCAGGTGAGGGTTGTGGCCTGTGACTTGCAGGTGGAGGGTTGTGGTCTTACAGACGGTAGGTGAGGGTTGTGGCTCTGTTGTGACGGCAGGGTGAGGGCTAGGGGCTCTGTTGTGATTTGGGTAGGGTGAGGGTTGGGGTTTTGCTGTGACGGTAGGTGAGGGTTGTGCTCTGTTGGTGACGGTAGGTGAGGGTTGTGGCTCTGTTGTGACGGTAGGTGAGAGGGCCAGGCTCTGTTGTGACGGTAGGTGAGGGTTGTGGCTCTGTTGTGACGGTAGGTGAGGGTTGTGGCTTGCCAGACGTGCGAGGGTTGTGGCTTTGTTGGGTGACGGTAGGTGAGGGTTGTGGCTCTTGTTGTGACGGGTAGGTGAGGGTTGTGGTTCTACAGACGGGTAGGTGAGGGTTGTGGCTCTGTTGTGACGGTAGGTGGAGAGGGTTGTGGCTCTCATAGACGGTAGGTGAGGGTTGTGGCTCTGTTGTGACGGTAGGTGCAGGCCAGCCTCTATAGACGGTAGATGAGGGTTGTGGCCTGGTTAAAGACGGTGGTGAGGCCAGACTTGTTGTGACGGTAGGTGAGGTTGTGGCTCTGTTGTGACGGTAGGGGTGAGGGTTGTGGTTCTGTTGTGATTTGCAGGTGAGGGCCTGCCAGACGGTAGGTGAGTGGTTGTGGCCTACAGACGTAGGTGAGGGTTGTGGCTTTGAGCAGACGCAAGTGAGGGTTGTGGCTTTGTTGTGACGATAGGTGGAGGCTCCAAGGTGGACTGCAGATGGTGCTGTGGCTCTGTTGTGACGGTAGGTGAGGGTTGTGGCTCTGTTGTGACGGTAGGTGAGGGTTGTGGCTCTGTTGTGACGGTAGGTGAGGGTTGTGGCTCTGTTGTGACGGTAGGTGAGGGTTGTGACTTGCTCTGCTGGCAACCTAACCTAACTGAACCAAACTCATCCCACACACACTGTCTTCGCCCACCCACACCCTTACCATACTCCTCACCCACACCTCCTCACACCCACACATCCTCACCACATATCCTCACACCCACACTTCCTCACCACACATCCTCACCACACATCCTCACCACAATTTCTCACACCCACACACATCCTCACCACACATCCTCACCACAATTTCTCACACCCACACACATCCTCACCACACACCCTCACCACACTTCCTCATTACACATCCTCACACCCACACTTCCTCACCACACATCCTCACCACACCTCCTCACACCTACACAGTATCATCCTCGCTTCATTACCAGGCCAGGAGAGGTTTGTGTGTGTGTGTGTGTGTGTGTGTGTGTGTGTGTGTGTGTGGGGGGGGCAATAATAACAGAGAATGTCATTAGAGGTCTCAGGTGCGACAGACACACACACACACACATCTGCATAATATAATCTCCGTCGAGGCCAGCTGCTATAAAGAACAGTATTAGCGGCTTATGCCCGAATGAACAGATATGTAATGTTGTCAAGATATACAAAGCTGACCGACTTAGAAGGTATATCGGTGTAAGTTCCTCCTATATTATGTTACATGAGACTTCTTTATAAAATTATATAAGAGATAGACGGTACTGAAGGATTGGTTTTATAATATATGGTGATTTTGATGAATAGAGGCATTTAACAGCTAATATTTATTCATGAAACTGAATTAATAATGCTTTTATAACTATATAAATGATTATATAAGAACATAAAAGACTCAAGTGGTTAGTTAATAACATAAGAGTTAATCTAACGGGGTGATGTTATTGGTTCAACACTACTGTACACGTCACCTGCCAGTGTGTTTAAGGACCACTCTTTCTCTCTCCCCTTCACCTCATGACGTCAGAGTGCACTTGAGATTTATGCAGGTATGGTGGTTAGGTTTGGTTAGGTCAGGGAAGGTTAGGTTAGGTTATGTAGATATTGTGGTCATTAGAACACGGTGTTAACACTTGTGAGGTGTTTGATGATGTGGTCATAAGAGTGAATTAATATAATTATGATAAAGTTGTGAAGTTTATGGAGAGTTTCCTCAGTCTTCCTCACGGTGACGGTGTTGATAATTACACAGTACAATATTCTCACGCTGTTTGTATATTACTTGAAAGGTTTACTAAGATGTTTTTACTGTACTTATTTAAGATATTTTGTAACATACTGGAATTATTGTTCCAATATATCAGTTTTCTTTTTTTCTAATTTTTAATGTATTCGTAAGGTCTGAAATAAGTCAGGTTTACATAATCGATTTAATGAATAAAAAATCAAGCTTACATAGACTTGTTATACTTCCTTCAATATGTTACAAAATTATTTTTAATTTATATGGAATCTTTAACATTTAATGAAATATTTTACACGATATTTTCAATTAAACATAAAGCTTTTTCTAGATCTACTCACTTTATTATATACAGGTCGAGTTAAAATGATGTGTTCCAGGTTTCAATGCTATATATAAGGGACTAAATCATTTATTGTAGTTTATCGAGTTGAAGGTATTTACTATAATTATGGAAACACATTAGTTGTGCCTCTGCTGCTTTACCAGACAACCCACATGGAGGTACAGTAGTTGTGTCTGGTAATTAATTAACTGTTGTTACTCCTTCACTCGTCTACCACCATCACTACTTACCACTGTCAACACCAACACCTACCACCACCTACCTACCACCTACCACAACCACCACCTACCACAAACACCACCTACCACCTACCACCTACCACCTACCTACCACAACCACCTACCACAAACACCACCTACCTACCACAACAGAACCTATCACCTACCTACCACAACCACCTACCACAACCACCACCTACCACCTACCACCTACCACAACCACCACCTACCACAACCACCACCTACCACCATCAGCTCATGGCACCTGACTGTTAAATTCTACTTCTCAGAACTGACCAACAGGAGGTGTTGCATTAATCTGGAGGTCGAATGTCGCGGGTCAACAATCCCAAAGGTCAGCAAAGGTCAACATGAGTAATGTACCTCCTAACTCAAGACTTATAACTTACAAAATGGCGTCACAATTGCTCAGAGACTATACCTGCATTAGAGTCCTTTAATAAATATGTGGTGGTGGTAGTGGTGGTAGTGGTAGTGGTGGTAGTAGTAGTGATAGTAATAATGGTAGTAGTGGTGGTATTAGTAATGGTAATAGGGGTGGTAGCAATAATAGTGGTAGTAGTGGTGGTAGTAGTAAGAATAGGGGAAGTAATAATAGTGGTAGTAGTGGTGGTAGTAGTAATAATAGGGGAAGTAATAATAGTGGTAGTAGTGGTGGTAGTAGTTGTGGTAGTGGTGGTGATTGTCAGCTTCCAGGAATTGAATGTGGACACTGAAAAATATTGAGAAAAAATTATTCCTTCCGTGTTTGTCAATGCAGTTCAGTAAACACCTCAATATTCGTGGTCTCCAAATTTCGTACCTCTTCCTCTTCCTTCTCTTCCTCCCTGACGCTTTCCTCTTCATCCCCCATTTCCTCTTTCTCTTCTTCCTTGATGACTTCCCTCCCTCTCCTTCTCCTCTTCCTCCCAGATGCCTCCTTCTCCTCCCTGACTTCTTCTCCCTTCCTCTTCCTACCCCTTCCTCTTTCTCCCTGGCGCATTTTCTCCCTCTCTCCCTCTTACTGTCTCCCTCCCCCTCCCTCCACTTCCTCCCTGACCCTTACTGACCCCCCCTCTCTCTCTCTCTCAACCCCCACTGAGCCCGTCCCCCTCTTTAAGCCCCTCACTGATGCCCTCCCTCCCCTCCTGACCCCCTCCGTCACCCCTCCCTGTCCCCCGTCACCCCTACCTGAGTGTGTACAGTATGCATGTTTCAGTAACGTTATACAGGAAGTGTGACATAAAGCATTATTTACCCGGTATTGTGGAGAGTTGTGATGGCGTCAACTAAATGGCGTCGATACATTTCCATCTGTGTGTGTGTGTGTGTGTGTGTGTGTGTGTGTGTGTGTGTGTGTGTGTGTGTGTGTGTGTGTGTGTCTGTTTGTGTTCCTTTTTATCTTTCTATTCATCTATAATTTTGGTCTGTCTTCTATCTATTTCTTAATACGTGTTTTATATGCATGTTTGTCTTCTTATCACACACTGCAACACACAGTAACACACAGCCCCCACTGCAACACACAGTAACACACAGCCCCCACTGCAACACACAGTAACACACAGCCCCCTCTGCAACGTTGAGAAGACGGACTTTAAAAGCTGAGCATAATTCAATACAGCCTTGTTTTAATATTTGACTTACGAAGTAATTTAGTTAACCAGGAAGGGCGGAGGAGGAGGGGGAGGAGGAGGAAGAGGCGGAGGAGGAGGGGGAGGAGAGCAAGGAGGCGGAGAATGAGGGGAAGAGGAGAGGAGAGGACGGAAGGGGTAAAGTTAGGGTAATTAAAAAAAAATATTTACTTGTCTTAGGAGGAAATATTATGGTGGAGAGTGAAGGACTTTACATTTCCAGATATTTATTAGCTTGCAAATATAATGACAATATTTTATTGCAATTGAATTTTAATTTCATGTACATGATATTGAGGGACGTTTTTGACGTATCTGATGGACTGTAGGTCAGGCAGGGCTC